AAAAAGGTACGAAGGCTTTTGGGATGCTTGCTGTTTTCCCACAGCTTTGGGGTTTCAGGGTTTGTAGGGTTATAGCTTTAGAGTTCAGGGTTATGGTTTTGGGGTTTGGGGTTTATGGTACGGAGGCCTTTAGCATGTTTGTTGTTTTCCCAGAGCTTTATGGTTTCAGGGTTTGTAGGGTTGTAGCTTCAGGTCTCAGGGTTGTGGTTTTGGGGTTTGGGGTTTATGGTACGAAGGCCTTTGGGATGCTTGTTGTTTTCCCAGAGCTTTACGGTGTCAGGGTCAGGGTCATAGCTTTAGAGTTCAGGGTTATGGTTTTGGTGTTTTGGATTTATGGTACGAAAGCCTGTGGGATGCTTGCTGGCTTCTTAGGCCTTAAGAAGCACACATTGCAACTTAGTCAGGATTTCCTGGATTGGGGTTCGGGGCTTAGGGTTGAGACCACCAACCTTGAATCCTGGCCCACCCTAAACCCTAAACCCTAAGCCCTTATATAATGTATATACGACATGACCCAGACTCCAGCACCATAAAGAAGTGTACCTGAGACCCTGCCCCAAAGCTCACCATCAGAGCTGTGCCGGACTCAGGTTTTGAGCTTTGGTTGAAGCAAACTACAGGTGGGGAGTTTAGGGTATACATATATGGTCGACCATATATATAGGGCTTCTATAAGGCTTCCATGAGGTACATAGACCTTCTATATAAAGCTCCTATAACTGTAACTACCCACCTGAACATGTCCTAGATTTGAGGTTATTAGTCACACATGCGAATGGCGAGATACTACGGTCCCTGAATTCTTCCCTTTTACACAGGCTTGATTGAGCTCGCCCGGCCAATGTCCCCTAAACCCTAAACCCTGAATTCTTCCTAAACCCCAAACCCTGAACCCCTAAACCCTAAACCCTAAACCCCGAATCCCTAAACCCGAAACCCTATATCAGCTAAGTGCTCATGAGCTTTCGAAGCTTTAGGACTCCGGGTTTAGGGTTCAGGGCTTTAGGGGCTTGGGGGTTTAATCAAACATAAGGCCTCCGTCCTTGGGGGCCCCCCCGTCTCCCTCCAAGGCGAAGGGGAAAGCTTCCATAGCTTCGTCTGGGTCCTCCATCGGCTGGTTGTCGCCGCCTTCCAAGATCTCGGCGACGGTGCTGCGTTTGGTCTTCCTCAAAGAGATGGACAAGGTTGGGTTTTCGGGCAAACACAGTAGCAACGAAGGCGTATGCTCCAACACATATTTTGTAGCCACGGCACTTGTTCGATCCCCTTACCTTCACAGCGACCCAGTACATCCATTCGTCACAGTAGTCGGACTTCCTATTGACAAGGTCAGCACACATATGCGACACGAAATCGTTTTGCATATCATGCGGAACAAGCGAGCATCTCCTCTTGTAGCCAGGACGTTTCTCACAGCTTTTCTTTGCACCTTTGATCTTTTTCCTCGTCTCAAGACATGGGGTAACAGTAGAAGAAGTATGACTGCTTTCAAAACAAATAGCACAAAAGGAGCTGAGCATTGCAACCTGAAGCCCTTAATCATAAGTTTGAGCGACTCAGACCAGCCTTTCTCCTCCATTTCCTGCTCAGTCAAGAACTCGTACTCGGTTTCCACAGACTTTTCATTGATTTCTTCGTACTTCCGATTGACTTTCTTGGTGAACAGGACCTGGCTAAAGTCGAAAGCAGTTCAACCCACCCGAGTAACCAGTATTCCTCGATCTCATAAGCGAGCCAGTTGTTCTGGGTCACATCCACACTTCTCGAATGCAAGATAAACTTCATCCCGTGTCTCAAGATTCTTGTGGCTGTTGATGATCTCCAAAGGAACTTTGTAGGTTCCGTCAGCTTTCGGGGTGCATATGCGAGCCAACCTTTTCATCAGAGTTTTTTTGCTGACTGGCTCGGGTGGTTCAAGGGCCTTTGCCGGCTCCACATATTCGTCATCCTGGATTTCCCCTGCTTGCTGGTCAGGGACACCTGGCTTGTCTGCGGGGTCCTTGGCTTCCTTGGGTTTCTGTTGCTGCTGCTGTGGCGGGAGTCTGTTCGGCATCTGCGGGGCCTGGGGGCAGGGGCGACGTTTTTGTCGGGTGGCTGCTGCTGCTGCTGCTCCTTCTTTGCTTTGGCCTGAGCAGGGGCGACGTTTTCGTCGGGTGGCTGCTGCTGCTGCTGCTGCTCCTTTGCTTTGCTGGGCATGTGCGGGGCTTCTGGTTTCTTGGGAGCTATCTTGGGGCTTGGGGTGCCAGGCTGGGTGGCTTGGATCTCCTGGGTGGGGTTCGGGCTCGGGGCTTTTGGCGAACCCACCATATGCTCGGCTTGGGTGGCTTGGATCTCCAAAGGCTCGGGTTGGGTGGCAGGGGGCTCTGGCGAGGCTGCTTGCGAACCTGTTTGCGAGGAATGCCACGAGGTTCCGGAACGAAGACTGGGCACTTCCTGTCTTCTTTAACAGCAGAGTGTCTAGACACGGAAACATGAAAGTTATGTTGCCCGAACAAAGAGCTCCTCCTTGGGCTTCCACCCGGTAAGTTTGAGTTTCTCCTCAGTTTGAGCAGATGTAGATCGCAAAACTCGGAAAGAATTTGTTCTGTCAGCTCACCACCAAAGCTGCTCTTTGAGCTAGCAGAGCAGAGCACTCGCGATCCTCCTCCATGGCTCTGCCAGGAAGACTTCTGGCTTGGCTGGAGCACAAAACAATCCTGGATCGGCGATCAGAAGGAGCATCTGGGCTGATTTAGGGGGGTCACCGGGGGGTCCCGCGTAATCCCGCTACAATC